TCAGTGATTCTTTAAAAACTTATGATAATAAAGTGGACTTACATATCTACCAGTGGGGAAGGAAAGCCACCTGCAGACTCACTGTTTCAGACATTCCACGGACGAATGACCATCAACAACTTTATGAACGAATTATTACTATTCTCAGAGTCCTGTCCCCCGATCACAGAAGGTGCACTACGACATTTTTCATGTTTTATTTTTCCAGAGCATTGCCAGTGCGAAGTACAGTGGAGATGATTTGGAGTTCAGTTTGGAGCGTTTGCCCGAGCCTACTTATTTTGAGAAAGCAATTACGGATTTTCTATCATTTTTAATAATTTTTTGGCAGATATCTATGATGCCGTGCATTTTACATACCGTTTCGAATATTGCCAGTGAACGACGTAGCGGCATGCAGGCAATTTTTTATTTTTATTTTTTTGAACTCTTCGCTGTAAAATTATGGATCGCCTGGTTTTATCAGCTTTTGAGTAATCCGAGCAGTGGGTAGTAGTGCGAATTCATAATGAGTGCTTTGTTTGGCAATACCCCGGTGTTTGTTTGTTTCGACGAAAAATTGCCGAATTTATTATTTTTTAAGTCGCCGCTGGTTATTTTTGGCTTTTACTTGTTTAATATGTTCCGGGCGAGTATTTGGGCAGACAGGATTTCTGGATTTAAGCTAGTTGGTCCCTCAAAATAGCAGCATTTGTTTTACCAAGGACTCTTTAAAGTGCCGAAGGGCCTACACTTATACTTGGAACCATTGATACAGTGCAGACTTATCCCTTCTGTAAATCGCTGTTGCGCTTCGATGATAAATTAGAACTTCGGCAAGTGCTTTGGAGTTATATTGTTTTTCTTTTTTCCGGTTTTTCAAGTCATTTATTGCTGTTACAAAGTGCTTTGCGATTTTGCCGAGTAATAATTGCTCTTTAAAAATCGTCGTCGTTCGGGCTATTTCCTCGTTCTTCTATCTATGGCTGTGAAAAACAGAATGCTTTTAACTTGATAAATTGCGAAATATTAGTAGATAACGATGATTTTGATAACGGAGTTTCACACATAAATCGATAATTTGGTAGATAACGGAGTTTCAGGTTTGCTAATGCAAAAATTTATATCTTCAGAATTTGTATCTTTGCTTGGTCTAAGGAAACTTTGCAATTCTTACTTCTTTATTCTTCAAATATTTATTTTTTACCATTATTCCAGGCTTTTTTGAAAGTAATGGGTCTCGAGCCATTAATTTTTTACCTGTCACATGGAATTTTTGCGTATATGAAAGCTGCCTTTGTGTTGCTCATTTGCACGCTAATACTATTGCCGAAATTCCAGGTGAAGCACCAGTTGATATATTTACCCTTGAAAAAACTAAAGATTTAGTGCGGCAATCCAGGTACATAGGCGGATCCAGGGCGGCTTTCTGGGCGGAAGGAGGAGAGGACGAAATCCGTCAAGGCCCAGGATTGGAGAGCTTGGCGTAGCTGCGCCCGACGTGTGGGAGCATCCCATTAACATCGCTTGCATGTGATAGCTATACGTTTAGTCCGAGCACTGTTGACATGCTTGGCTTTTTTTCAGAATTTTCAAAATTAAGTGTAATTCTTGGTAAAACACAGTACTTTTCTGGCACAATCAAATCTTGTATTTACAAGCATAGCTCGTGTGCTGAAAAGATTATCGAATGTAATAAGAGAAAGCTGCCGGATTATCGCTTGATATACTTCTCATATTTACAAGCTGTTCATGTGGATTGTCAGTAACTAGCTTGCAAGCTTTCTCGACCAAAATTAGCCGGGAAAAGAAGCTCGTTTCCTACGACTTTTATAACGCATTGGATTTTCTGGTTGTAATAGATCTTTATCGGTATTCGGTGAATCGTGAATGAGCATTCACAGCAACTACAATTCCCTTCATCGTTTTTATAAAATTTTCATTACTAAAGCACTTACTTTGAATGACATCAAATTTTCAGATGGTATTGCCAGCTTTGTTTATTATAACAATACTCGTTTATGCTGCGGGAATTGTGACTTTCGCACTGTGTGCTTCCACGATTTTCCATAGTGCAGGAATGGCTGTCAAAGGAGCTGGCTTCTTATGGCTTGCTAGCATCGGTATGGAAATCTTTTAACTTTTCATAATTTGAATAAAATCTTGAAATTCCATATCCAGGAAAGCCATGAAAGCTCGAGTCGTATGAAACCACCCTGCCAATCCCAGCAAAAATCGTTAAGCTTTTGAAAAAAATTTTGCTGAAAGATTCTCGCAATTCTTGTCAATGAAAAATTAGATTGAATGCAGTTGATATGTAAAACCTGTAACAAATATCGGTTATTTATAAGCTTGTTTTAGCATTAACGAGCGTCCCAGTACCGAGTGGATCGCTGCTTCCCAACATTATTTTTTCGCTAAATATCAACTATGCGTTTACTTCGGCACTAAAATCCATACAGGATTACATGAGACGAGGTACAAATTTTTCATTTTTTTTCACATTGTTGTACGACCGTTGTTTCAATGACTGGTTAATGCTGACATTTTCCCAGACATTTTCCGGAAAGCTAAGCTGTTTTCAGCAATCCTTGGAAAAGAGGACCATCGGCAACATTGTCAGCAGATAATTGTCGTTCCTGGCAAAACACTATTGGCACAGTTAGTGTTTGGTTTTTTCCCGCCAGGTAATTCAGATTGGGAGTCACAAAAACTGTGCACTTCGGTACGCGCGTCACGTACGGGCATGTGAAAGTTTCGGCGAGAAAATTACTAAGTCGGGAACCAAAAAAGCTAGAAAGCTGAAATTTTGGGAAAATGATCCTGTCAAAGTACAGCATAAATATTCAACATAAATGTTCACCCTTCAAGTACGTGTGTTTCTCAAGTATGAGCATTTGAAGGTTTTGGCGGGAAGATTGCTCGCTGGACAGCTAGATCATTTCCAAAGAAAGACTGTTGAACAGGAATTGTTCATTTCCTTTATACAAAATTTGCGATGATTCACGCTAGTGAGCGCAAGAGGTAGG